AAATATGGGGTTTTTGATTTTCTTTAAGGTTTATGTTTGTCTTTCTGGCACAAGAGAAAACCAGTTCACCATGCCAGTGTTTACCACTTTAAAAAATATATCTAAAGCTTATTAATATATGGATTAATAATAACATTAAGCCTTTTGCCTCCTGCAAGGACTTTTAAATCTTCCATTATTTGGTCTTGATACAGTTTGGCATTATAACTTAGATATTTGACAGGACTGGGAAGTAGTCGCTGATAATGTAGCTGCATCACTAGTCAAACATGCATTTTAAATAAGAAATTATACTAGATAGGATAAAAAATAGCCCTTCATGATGTAATTTTAAATGCTCTTGACTACTCAGTTGTCAAATCACTTAATCATTCTACTTCGGACCGTCAAACACATTGAGAGTGCATGTGAGCCCGTGCTAGAACAAGGAGCCTCTTTTTACTTCATCGATAGCAGGAACTGGAGAGACTGAAGCAAGTAGAATCCTTTAAGTAGAAACTGAATATTTTAACAGTTCCTTAATGATTACTTTTCATTATTGATACAGTATAATTTATATATGTGATTTCATGTAACTCTAAATTTTTCTCTCTCTTTTATAGACATGTCTCTGCCTGAGTTCATTTGGATTCGTGAAGCTTTGATAGCATAACATTCTCCTCTCTATACTTCCTAATAAAAAAAGAAGCAAAGGGGCGGGGCATTAGTAATGATCTGGCCTGAGACCAGAAGTGGTGCGGAGAAGTGAGAGTGTTATTAAGAATCAGCATCTTTTAGCTAGTAACTGCTTTCATGGAAGAAACTTCTAGTCGATTACTGGTTTTTGGCCCCTTGACTAACTCATTGGGTCCTAGAGCAAGTCCCATCATCTCCTTGGGAATCTGTCTTGCCTCTTTAAGGAGGGATTGGACCTCCCTGTTTGTCTCAGAATTCAGTTATTTTCTAATAACTTGACCTTCTGAATCTCTCAACTCATCATTAAAAATTATTTCACAGAAAAGAAAAATTATAGAGATTTGGTGATGGGCCAATATTAGAATCAATATTATTTTCCAAATTGAACAAATTCTTTCCCCTTCAGGATTTGATTAAGAGATTAGTCATCCCAAATCTATGTGCCCTTCTCAGAATATATGTTGTTACCTGGGTGTCAAGTGGGGTTTGTTTAGGATCCAGTAAATATCAGAACCTATTTCATCGCAGTGCTTGCCTTTTGTTTGCTTACACGTTTGCTTAACGATTACAAGTTAGGTATTCTAGTTCAGGTGCTCATCTTCAGAGTGATTGAAAGCTTTGAGAGTGGCAACACCAGTGAGGATATTTAGGAAAAGCTACTCTCATCCCAAGGGAGTTGGTTTTCTCCTGCGCCACCTTTATACATGTGCACACGTTAGGAACTACATCTTTTAAACTTACCATCCTGCTGTGCCTTAGAGAACTCGATCTGTTAGAAAGAAATTAACCACAAAGAATATTTTAACCAAAGAAAAGTGTTCTGATTTTTGAAGTGTATCCAGCTCATTCCCTGAGTCATCGTCAAAGTAAGCTCCACAAGAGAGCCTACTTTTCAGAGTTCAGACATAGCTTGGACACTGGGAGGGTGAAACACAAAGTAACATGCCTTGCAGATAAGTGATATTCAGAAACTAGGCAGTGCACCGCTGACATCCGGGAGAGAGGAGCTCAATTCACTTACCAGCAATCTGGTCAGCACTGAAGGACTGCGGTGACGAAAGAGAGGGAGAAAGAAAGAAAGAAGTAGTACTCTTTCAAATGCATTGACAGAAGAATGAGGGCTCTCTCCTGTGAGTGTGTTAAGCAGGTGTCATTGCATAAGAAGGTTGCCTGAGGGTAGTTTCGAATCTAGAAACATAAAAAGCTATTGCAAAAGATTAGATCATAAAGATAAAAAAA